TTATCTGCATTTATGTAAGTCACCCTAAAATTAATTTCTCATATTAATAAATATAATAAAATAATAGGACACGGAAAGCTGGTGTGGTGGTGAGAATGTTGGACTGGTGATCCAGGAAAACAGGATTCTAGTCCTCATTCAGCCAGGAAACTCACTGAGTGACTCTGGGCTTGTCATGGACTCTCAGCCTAACCTAGCTCATAGGGTCATTATTAGGAAGATAAAATTGAGCTTTGTAAACCATTCTGGGTTCCTCACAAGAAGAAAAAAGGCAAGATATGAATGCGATGCAGAGATAACAACAACAATAGAGTAATTCATCAATGGAATAAACAATAAAAGAACTGCTCTGGTTACCTATTCATTCCCAGTCTCTGTTCAGAACATTTTCCTGACCAACCTGTAAGCTCCCCAGACCTATCATAAAGCAAAATATCAAGAAAATCATGCCTTCAGTATCAAGACTTTGCAAAGAGTGGTGACAAAAAATCCATCTATGAATGCTAGGACTTTAGTCAGAATGGTGTCACTCTCCTGTAATAACGACTTAGAAGTAAAGGGGTAAGCTTGACAGCCACAGACTGAAATAGACCTAAAAGATGGACAACAGTACATGAAGTATTTCCATCTGTTCCCCTATCCACTTCCTCCACACAGTGTCATATGCCTTCTCAGTATCTAAAAATGCCGCAATGGAATATTCCTTCGGAGATAACCTCTTCCAAACAGGAGCTTCTCAACTCACGCTGTGATCAGGAGAATTCTGATCTACAAAATCAAAAAAAGTGGATGCAGAGACACAAAAAGCTGCTATTTCTCCAAAACAGCTACTTGCTGAACATATGTTCCAAATGTTTACAAATATGTGGCGTCAATTCAATTGACGTATAGGAAGAAGGAACGGATAAAAGGTTTTCAGGTTTTCCTGTGGGGAAAACAACAGCATGTTTCCAGGATTTAAGCCAAACATCTGACCTCCATTTAAGATTTTATAGATCAAATGGTAACGTTGGTGCTAGTTAAGCAAGTGCTTTAACATTACATTGCTCACTCGGTCCTCACCAAAACAAGTATCCTTATAGCAATCCAAGCTTTTTTCTCTTTCTGTCTAGTAAAAATACATTCAACACCTCTTCATCTCCCAAATAGCAATCTTCTAACAAAGCACCAAACTTCTACCAAAAAAAAACAAAACCTAGCCCCAAATTTTCTATCTCTAATGAGAATTATCCATTTCTCTTTATTATGGACTCTTTAAAATAAATTCCCAATATATCTCAACTTTATCCTTACTGACAGTGCAAATCTTACCACCAAAACTTATATTCTGCTCTAACAAGAATGTACACCACTCACCTTCTCAAAGATGTCCAGCCACCAATGAAAGCGGCACATCAACTGCAATTTTTCCACTGGACTCCCTCCAATTTTTCCATTTAGTATTTCAAATCACTTTTTAACAATAACCCTACAGTTTATATAGGTCAAATCCTCCTCTGATTATATGGGTCAATTCCTCCCCTGCCAAGATACACTGAACTTTCTAGAGAACCTCCTCAGTGGTGGCACCCCAGCTTTAGAATGTCCCACAACATCCTGATTACCCTAGCAAAAAGTGCAGCCATGGGGTAGATCCACTATTGGCTGCAAAACTGGACTCAAAAGAGTACTCATAAATAGCACATTCTCAAACTGGGGTGAGCTGACAAGTGGGGTGCCACAGGGTTCTGGGACTGGGACTCTTCAATATTTTTATTAATGATCAAGGAGGACGTACACGAAAAGATAATTAAATTTGCAGATGAGACAAAGCTGGATGGAAAAGCAATTACTCTGGGGGACAGAGATAAGAAACCCTGACCTTGTCAGTGTGATATTGATAGGTTAGAATGCTGGGCAGAGAAAAACAGAATGAAATTCAATAGGAACAAATACCAACTCCTCCACTTAGGAACAAGAAACCAAATGCATTGCTAAAGAATAGGGAATTGACTCAACAATACAGCAAGTGAGAAGGACCTTCAGGTTGGTGTAGATCACAACCTAAAAATGAGCCAACAATGTGATACAGCTGCAAAAAGGGCACATGCTATTTTGGGCTGTGCTAACAGAAGTATCACTTTCAAAACATGTGATATACCAATTCCCCCATATTCAGCACTAATCAAACCCCACCTGGAGTACTGTGTCCAGTTGTGGGCGCCTAAGTTTTAAAAGACGCAGAAAACTTAGAAAGGGTACAGAGGAGGGCAAAGATGATTCAGGGACTGGAGGCAAAGCCCTATGAGGAAAGATTGCAAGAAATAGGCATGTTCAGCCTCAATAATAGAAGACTGAGGGGAGATATGATAGCATTCCACAAGTGCCTGAAAGGCTGTCAAAAAGAGGAAGGACAAGAACTCTTCTCATTCATTCCTGAGTGCAGGACTTAAGGAATAACAGACTTACGTTAAAAAGAAATCAGATTTAAACTAGACACCAGGGAGAATGTCTCCACTGTCAGAGCAGAGGGGAAGTTGTGGGCTCTCCCTCACTTGAGATATTCAAAAAGAATCTGGACATTCATCAGAATGGGATGGTGTAACTTAAGTGTCCTGCAATAGAAGGGGGTTGGACTGGATGGCCTTCTGAGCCCTTACAACTCTACTATAATGCATCAATTCCTCACAGCAGTCCAAGAGCAAAGGACAATGCCTCTTGCCATGGTTTTTAGAAAGTTTTTCTTTCCTATTTTTGTAGAGTCTGTCAATATGCACACGGGCTCTTAACTCCTCTTCCCGAGAAACATGGGGGGAGCATGTAGCCACTTCAGCGAAGCAAATATTTTCATTCACACAGCAAAAGCAGCTCTTATCTATAGAATTATTTCAGAAAGCAACTTCAAGATGACTATCTCTGATGTGCTTCCTAACAAGCTGAAGCCCATGAGGCCTTGACATGCTTTCAAGAACTATTCTTTTGGTCACTGGTAAAGTTTGCTATGTACTTGCTGAATCTCCAATACAACAGATATGAGAAACAGTGAGCTAAATAAACCAAGCTTTAAGAGAGAGGCCCATTTATAAGGTGCCAATCTGGAGATGCTAAAAGTGTTTCTGCAATGTAGCAGATGCATATTTAATGGGCATTAGAGATATTTAGCAGTCCAACTGTAAACCCTCGCAAAGCAGCCGTGGGGTCTTCAGAGGCTACCTGAAACAACAGAGAATGTTTGGTTCTGCTTGCCAGCAGGTGTTGACAGATAGGCAGGGTATGAGAGCAAGGCTTACAAGAGGAGAGGGAACAAAATGGGAACATGTTGCATGTTTACAGACACTTGAGCTGGGAGGAAGAAAAATACATAATAAAATGTACATAGTGCCATTTATCCCCATGCTAGGGATGTAGAAGAGAGCCAAAGACAAAATACATCCAATAGGAAATCAGGATTTTCCCCTCCTTAATATAATAGGAATAAAGTAGAGGCACTGAGAGGAAACCAAACAAGGATGAGTTGGGGAGAAAGATTCTCAAAACAAAACAGGTTACCCTCTTCCAGTGTAAGCTCCTGCTCCTTAATGAACACACACCAACTACCTAACAAATCCTGGACAACTGCTACATTTGTGTACAAGAAAGCGCACATAAAGAAATGTCTGTGCTGCCTCACGGGTGTATATTTTGTTTTTAAGGTGGGTCTCAGCTAAAATAATTTACTATACATCAGACTGCCTTATTCACAGAATTTCACAAGTGAACTGGGCAACATCATCCTGCATTTATAGCCCTCTTGCATTTTCCCAATGCTTTTTCAGGCCATTAAGTAGGAAAGGCAGAATGGCTGCATGATGTAGTGCTAAAAAATAACCAGTAGTGCTAAAAGGCTTCCATCTAGAAGCACCCAGAATGTACCAAAATACATCACCATACAGCACTTTTTAGGAAATTATCTCTCCCCAACTGTCCTGCAGTTTATAAAGAAGGCAAAATCTGGATGAATCTACAGGCTTAGTTTTCAAATCCTTTTCTCCTGCCCTTAACAGCTGGCCACCCACACCAGCCTTAATAAAATACAGTGAGATCATTTTTTTCCTGTGAAGTGTTAACCTTGTGAGCCTGTGGGAAAGCACATCCACTTAAATGGTTGAGAATGCAGCAAGGAGATGGAGTCTGCATCTTTGCTTTTGCACGGCCTACGCCTTGGCGAGCCTATTTGTGGGACAGTGTGGAAGTGCATCTCTAGAATGAACCTTATGTTTCCTCTACTCATTTGCATGTCACACTAATTACCCTGCTTTCCTCAAATGTGAAAAATGTTTTCTCCACTCCCAGATATAAGAAAACCAAAAATCAAAAGTTATTAGTTCATGTTTCTAGAACTCCACAGTGGTTCTAAAAGGAATGCTCTAACAGCAGACTTGTTCTTTGTTGTTCCCAAGGACAGAATCAGAACCAACAGGTAGATGCAGATTTTGGATAAACGTTCCCAGCTGTGAGAGCCGTTCAGCAGTGGATCTGACTACTCTACAGTTGCCGAGCTCCCCTTTACTGGGGCAATTGTGGCAGAGGCTGGCCAGCCAATTGCGAAGGGTGCTGCAACTCCACCTTGAAACGCACTGAGCAGGGCTGGACTAAATGTTCTCCACTGCAGCTTCAAACTCTATAGACAAACTCTTCTTTGTCTGGAACCAAGGGCCCTGTGGTTCCAGACAAACAAGCCCCATTCCCAGATTCCCAGAGAATCAGGGCAAAATGAAGCTCCACAATAAGCACTGAACCATTTTTTCCCTTGCAGCAGAAGCTGGAGGTCTTGGGGGACTGCAGCGCATGTGTTTGTCACTAACCGAGCTCATAGAGTTGTTGTGGGCGTAAGAGAGGGAAAGGAGGATTCCATAAACCGGCTTACGTTCCTTTAAGGAAAAGAAGGGGGACGCGTCGTTACTGGGAAGGCTTCTTCTGCAAAACTCCAGGTACTGAATGCAACGATAAACCCGCGGTAGTCACGATTGCAACGCAGTCACCTGACACTTGCAGCACTTCGCATTCATCCTTCCCAGAGTAAATAGCGGCTATGGCAGAGAGCTCCTCCAGGGCCAGCTCCGACATGGCAGAGGATGGGTCCGCCCCCTTTCCTCTCGCGCCCGCGCAAGGCAGAACTTCAAGAGGCGCTTCCCCTTCCGTCGCAAGGCGAAGCGATGCTGGGATTGAAAGGAAGGCACATGTCCACGAGGGAGCACTCGGGAGCTGCTGCGGAGAGCTTGTTCCCACGTTAAACATAAAATTTCCGCGTCGTGCTGGCCGCGGTGCATCCTGCCGGCGCAGAGCAGCACGCGTGCTGATCTTGTATGCGCCGAAGAGATGAGTGTAGGCGGGCAGTGGCGAAATCGGGTTATATGTTTCATCCGAAGCTCCGTGATGAACGCGACTCAAATGCGTTTCTGGAACTCTAACGTGTATGGAAGTTCATGGAGGAGACAGTTCTCATAATGCTGGGCCCGAATGCAATGAATGATGTAAAAGCACAGTGTCCATGTTTTTATTTATTATTTATATTTATTCTCCTGCAAGGAACCCAAGGCAGTTTATGTAATCCTGCTGTCCATTTTATCCTCCCAACAACCCTGTGAGGTAGGTTAGGGTGAGAGTCAGTGGCTCAAATCATGACTGCATGGGGTCAAGAACGTGTCTCTTCTAAGTCCCAGTCCAACATTCTAACCAATATGCCACTCTGGCTATAGAAAAACAAAACACACTTTTATATGGGAAGGCTGCCCTGCTGTAAGCAATGAAACAGACACGTGCTACTGTGACACCAGCTTGGGCAACTGCTTATTTTTCCTGAATGGTCGAGCCAGCTTATATGCAGGATCAGTATAAGGCAATGAATAAAATGGGAACATAAAAGAAATAGGGTTAGGGTTAGAGCTGACAGTTAAATTGAGTGACTTTGCAAAATTCTGTGAAATATTCTTGCTAGGGGAGTTAAAAGAGTGTGGGTAGAAGCTACACACCCATGAACCTAATGCTCATAAACTTCCGCTGAGCATTAGAACTGAGCACAGATTATTCCCAACTGGAGTCTGTGCAGACATGGAAACTATGTGTGGGACTGCACACTGAGTGCTTTTTCACACAGCAGATAGTCACATTGTAGGACCTGCTACACAAGTTGTTGATGGCCACCAACTTGGATGGCTTGCAAGGGGAATTCAATGAATTAAAGGCTGCCAACTTATCCTGGTGGCTGCATAATACCTCCTGCATTGGATATGGTATCCCTCTCATTACCAGTTCCTGGGAAACAGGAGAGGGAAGATATCCTGCTTGGGGGTTTTCCATAAGCATATGGTGTGAACAGAATGGTGGACTAGATAAATGGTTGGTCTACATAACATGGCTCTTATGTTCTTAGCCATTTTCTCCCTGATCTGTCAGTTTGAAAGTATCTGTGGTACACTACACTAAAGCCCTTTTCAATTCTAAGGTGCTGCTGTGCTGGAATTTCCCCCCTTCCCCTCCCCCCATAAATGAATGCACTGCAGTGTCTGCTATATTATACTATCTTCCAAGTGCTGTGTACCAAAGCATAGTATTCTCATTGTAAGGCGCTCTCACAGGCTTTGTCATTTGCGTTTTATAGCGCAAGCCCAGGCATCAAGCCAATTACGGAGAAAGGGAAGGTCATCCTGCTATTTCAGCTCGCTTTATTTTTAAAGTCTGATAAGTTCATGCACCCCTGCACCAGAATGTAGGTTTTTAAACAAAGATTGTATCATTCTTTGTAACTGTGCAGGCACATAGTGAGAAATTGGTGCCCCCAGAAGTTATTATGGCTAACCAACCAGTCCAGCTGTACAAAGAGAGAAAATGGAAGATAACTCAATGATTTCCTGCATGCAAATTCTTTCCCCCACCCTGAGGTCAAAGAACAAGGTGAAGAGAAATGTTGCAAAGTGGGTTTTATTACTTTGAAGTTGCTCCCACTGGCAAGAGTTTTAACATCTCTAGACTGGAACATAAGCTGTTTGCTATCAGCAGTCACTGAAAAAACTGTCATAAAAGACGACTGTGGGGGGGGCGGTTGTGTCAGAATATTACTGGTTGAGGGGGACAGTTGTGTGCAACAGGAGTAAGCCACCATTTACAGAACAAAGATAAACTGGCCCCATGTCTTCCAAATCAATGTATGTGTTGTCCCCTCATTAGTCAGGGATGGCGCTTTAAAGCAACAAAGATCTGAGGAACAAATAGTTCCCTGTATATGTAACCCCTAATGACAAATTCTTTCTTTCTTTGTCCTGGTCCTCATATGCAGCCCAAACCACATCAGACTATCCATGAGGAATACCATTTTTGAATTCTGTCTTCCATAGAAATCACACTCCTTGCAAGTAAACCAAAATGAAGCAAAGCCGTATACACCTTAGGACAGCAGGTAGCAAGAATCTTGCCTAGTCCACTTCCTAATTATATGAGGTTGGGGGGTTTTGTGTGTGTGTGTGTCCTTGTTTTACAAAGAAATGGCTTCTTTTTAAGTGCAATTCCCCCACCTACAGTCGGAATTAATACAGCCATTATATTACTTCAGAAAGCCATTTCCTAATTGCCACCTAACTGTGGTGTTAGGCTTGTTGCAGATGCACAACTGAGTAAGGGGGATTATTAGGATTCCCAGCTACACAAAAAATCCTACTTTCACTCAAAAACACACAAGTAATGGTGTCCCTGCAGACCTCAGCACTCAACAAAGAGAAGTGAGAGGCATTGGGACCAGTGGCAGGCACACCCGGCCCCATTAATAGTTGCAAATAGTAATATCTTCATGTTCTGTTTGGTATTCTATATTGCTTTGCATTGTTAAACTTCCTTTTCATCAGACCTAATATGAGCTTCTGGTGACCAGGCTGCTGCCAAGGCCATGCCCCAGCCAGGCCTGCAAACAATTTTCCTGCCCAGTATTCCAAGTAGTGCCAAGCAGCTGGGTTTAGTTATCATTCCATTTCCCGCCCTGCCCCTGACCTAACAGGATTCTGGGACATCACACAATGGGAAACTGAAGGCACAGCTGTCCAGTGTTTTCTGGCATGCTGCCATTGCAAGCAGCTGGGCCCACCAGGCAACTCATGCCTGAGGCCTACACAAATCCAGGGCCAGGCCTGCTTTCCTCTCCCTAGTCCAGTTGCTTAGCCAATCTTTATTGCAGAGCATTTTAGAGGATACATGTCCACATTTAGAATTCACAGCTGCTACAAACCCTTAGGATAGAGTGTGATATAAATCTGAATAAATAAACAACACTTGGCAAATTCAGTCACCTCTCCAACACTTGCATTTTGCCACTGTGGAACTGCCTTTACAATGCCACATGTCCCTTCTATTTCTACATGAAGATAACATGTATAAACAGCAGGTTTGCAAAACCACATTTTAAAATATTAGACACAAGTTTATTAAACTATTAGGGCACAATGGTAGGGAAAAAGCCTTATCATTGCTTAAGCAAAAACCCTTGTATAGGATTGCACCCTTAAGACCCAATGTGATCTTTTCATAATGTCATGTAGTGAGTTTGAAGGAAATATGCAGGAGCTGACATGACTGTAAGATCAGATACTAAAGAGAGTGAGATTATCAAAAATGCAGCTCCTGTCAGAAAGGCTTCTTTAAAAATTAGCCCAAACTTGCCTTTTATTTCTAACTTTTCCTCCCTTTGCATTCTAACCCCTCCATTTTCTTTCTTTACCAGGCTTTGTATAATCCATTTAATTTTTTTTTAAATAAGTCAATGTAAATGTCTTTTAAACTGACACTATCTAAAGACACTGAGGTCCCTGTGCATAAGTTCCTGCACTCTGACATTTGGAAGTCATCAAAGGAGACAGCATAATGTCAGTTTGATATTTGTCACACTATGCAAATATCAGCTTCATGTCAAAGATCTAAATTCCATCTAAACGTAATACATTCCCTTGTAGTAAAGACTTCTGAAAATGCTAAATATTTAAATTTGAGATGAATGTCTATTCTTGGCCTTCATATTGCGTTATTACTATCTGGAAAGTCAAGATCTTTTTTCCATTTTTTAAAAAATGATAATTCTTCCAATATTTTGACATATGAAAACTAATATTATTAGCTGCTCTTATTATTAAGGCACTCAGTTGGTATATGTCTGGCTCACCAATCCCTGACATACAAAGTCTGCACACTCAGACCTTTGGAGACTTTACTCACATGTACAAGGTATCTGTGCAAAGGGGACAATGGACTGCATGTCCACCTGAACATTGCACTTACATGTGAGTAGCTCAGTGCACATCGGTGCTCCATGTGATTGAGCACATGGAACCTTAACATGTGTTCACATGCCCACACAGAGACATCCTTTTGCAGAGATCACAGTTCAATGGATGGATATCAAGGAACCAGGAACAGTTGTGTCACGAGAGCAGGGTCACCTATATGTTCTACGGCTGAGTAGTGCCTGCAGTGAATTCCAATAAGGGGGATTCTGAGCACCTGAAACACCGTATGGTTAAGGATGCACAAGTGTGTGTCTGTGTGTACTACAGTCAATAGATATTTGCTGTCACTATAAGCAGTATAAAACAAGTCTTCAGTGCAGTTATTATTTCCACTCTTACATTTCTAGTAGAGAAGCATAGATTTGTAAGGAACAAAGGAAAATGGAGCTCAAATTAGTGGTATAGCCCAGCTGAAGATGGCCTGAGATCTCTAACAAAGATGCTTAATGGAAAGGACACAGTAAACTTGGCACATTTGTAGAAGTGGGGGATGTTTTGGCCTTGAATACTTTACCGGTAAAGTAGGCCTGATAGGAAGATAAATCATGTGTATGTGTTGAGAAAACATTTAGTGCACATTCTTGATTCAGAATGTAGTAAATTACACCTATCTCTGATAACCCAGGATGTAGTCTGGACTCTGTTATATCTCACTTTTTTTTTTTGGCTGTAAATCAACATCAGAGCAGGCAGATAAGTGTTTATGAATTTGTGATGTTTGTGTACAACATCAGTGATTGTTGTAATTGTTGTAACATAGTAATTGAATCGGTTTCTATTTCTCTTTGTATAAGCAAGAGGCATTTC